CCTCTGAATCAGACAGTCTAAAACCAATGTTCTCAAATAAAGAGGGAAGTTCTCAGGAGGTTATATTCATAGGTATATTTTAATCAAGTATTAATTAAATAATTTAAATAATTATATAATATAAAATCATGCAATACAGTGGGACAGTTGGTAAAGCAACATATTGCCTCTAACGAAGAAGTTTGCTAGATCAACTTTCTGTTCTGTGTTTACATGGTCTCCCCGTGCAGGAGTGGGTTTTCTCCAGGTACTCCAGTTTTCTCTCACAGACCAAAATCATATTTATTAAAACTAATATGACATAAAAAAGCAAATAACCTAATAATTTGGGATATTAGTTTCAGTGTGCCACCCCTGGATTTTCAGTGGCCCCCTCATGTATTTCTGATTAAACCTGTTTTCCACACCTTATAACTGACCATAACAGTCAGGATTTTGACCGTAACTGCGATGTATACGGACATATCACAGTATCGGACAGTACCGTATCCTTCACCCTTTACCCTTTAGTCCAGTGCACGCAAGCACAAGGAGAACATGCAAACTCTGCACAGAAAGAACCAAACTGTCCGAACTGGGGATCGCACCCAGGACTTTCTTTGCAGTGAGGTATCAGTGCTGAACACCGAGCTGTCATGCTGCCATGCACAGCTACCACCTTTAGCTTCATAAGGCATGCAAATTAGACAGATTTTTGCAACTGTAGCAAAGTACAATGTTAGTAAAGATGAAGTGCTCATATGTTATGATTCTTGTGTTTTGGTTATTTTCTGGTAGTATTTTTCAGATTGTTTTGGTATTGTCTTATTTTCTCATTTCCTGTTTTCAGTTTCCTGTGCCATGTTTACCTCAGTCAGCTTCTTTGTATTTTTCCAGCCTGCCACACTCATCTGTCTTTAATTGTAATCACCCAGCTGTTTCCWACTTCCACTCAGCCCTGTTTGTATTTAAGGATCTTCTCTTCACCACTTCAGCGTCTGTTCATTACTTACCCATGTTTGTTCTCAGCTCATGTTCATGCTCTTGCTCATGCTTATGCTCATGCTCCAAGTTTTGTTTTGTTTCGTTTTGTTAGCTTGCCACCACGTTGGCCTTTTTTTTGTTTATTAAAGTCTTTTTAATTACTTTAAGTTTGGTCTGCCTGCCTGCCTGCATTTTGGGTTCTCCTCACCACCAAGTCGTGACAATGTAAGGACATTGGGACAATGTTTCATTATTGATTGTGCTGGATAAACCTGGAATGAGAAGAGTTCACAAATGTAATACTTACTCTCAATTTCCTTTCAGAGATTTTTAATGAAACTTAATTTGAGCAACACAGAAATATTTTTAACACGCCACAAAAAAGAAAAAAAAAAAAGAAAAACAACAACATATCTTCAACTTAAAGGAAAAAAAAATTGTATAGGTCCTCTGGACGGGTTCTTCTTTAATGAAACGTTTCGTCTCTCTTCCAAGAGACTTCTTCAGTCTGAGAGTTTCAGGCAAATTCAGGCTTTTATGCCTGAAACTCTCAGACTGAAGAAGTTTCTTGGAAGAGAGACGAAACGTTTCATTAAAGAAGAACCCGTCCAGAGGACCTATACAATTTTTTTTTCCTTTGATTTTTTACCTGGATTACTGAGATGCATCAGGACTTTCTGCAGGTCATTCACTAGATC